GTCAGAGTGGCTCAGTGTTAGCACTCTGGCTTCTGAGTACAGCAAATTGTGGGTTCAAGCCCGACATGGGGATTTTGAGTTAATTGTCTATACTCTAATATAGTGTACATGTATTTGTGGAACACTTCTGCGCACAAATTGGCTGTTCCATTTGCCTGTACAATAACAAGTGAAAAAGTCACAAGCAAAAAAGTTAATTGCTAATTCAGCGAACTTAGCCAATCTTCTCAAAATGTAGAAGCATCAACATGCATCGATGGTTATGACAGAAGATGAGAAGGTTCCAGCTTTGCAAATTGTTCATACTTGCAGTCAACAAACACTCTTTTTTTAAAACTTAAAATGGTTGATCATTTCTACAGACATTACACAATGAGAAGTACATGTGTTTTGTGAGAGTTATGATGGAAATTCAGTATTCAACGAGTTACACAGACCACAAATAGGTCAGCATAGATTTGTGAAGGGAACAAAGCACATTTTTTGTCCATTACAGCTGAAAGTACATTGGTACAATGGGAATTACAACAATAGCCATTGTGTAAGTGTCCATAGAGATATAGTTCCTTTAATCTTTAATTACTTTTAAGACCAGTTTTCTCCCCCCCCCCCCCTGGGAAAACATGGTTGGAGCTGTGGATGATCTTAAATTTATATTTTCTGACTTTTTAAAGACCATCATGATTTAGGTAGTGCAGCTGAACTTTGGCCTGAGGCATACTTTAGAAGCTGTACTTTTGTGTATTTGGCCAGTATGTTAGGCTCAATAAATCTGCACTCAGCCATTAATATGTTTCCATATTATAACACATGTATACATTGGCTTTGCTGAAATATTCTATACAGGTATCCTAACACCAGTCTTTAGGTTATACCATTGTATCCAATAAGGATACAATGGTATAACCTAATGCTCAGGCATCACCTGATAAAAACAAGATTCCAGCATGGAATGTTTCAACAGGACATTTGGAAAACTGTTAGGATATATTAATCCTTTGTATGAGACATTAGGCCAAGGTCCTAGTGTCCTGCCCAACAATTCTCCAAATAAAATTGGCCATTCACTTCATGGTATGTGGGACATTGCTGTGTGCAAATTGGCTGCCAATATATTTGTAATATGTTTAGGATGGTAAATGTTTTACATTTTATGATTTGTAAAATGTCCTATTTCTGGTATGTGAAGAAAAAAAGTTGCAAAAATAATCCAGTGAGTTTAATGACAGTGAACTTCAGTGACTGAAGATGAGATGACACGACAAAGCAAAAACAAGAAGGTTAACCAACAAGTATCCTCCCAAACACTAAAGAAGAATTGGAGGCTGGGGACGTTCAGTGTCTGTAACCCAATCCTCAAGGTTTTTGGAATCATATAAAACAAAACTCGCTCGGCATTAGAAAAGAGCAATTGTGGTACAGAACTATGATATTCTCTCTACCCTATTGATTGTTCTCTGTTCAGCACTATTTATTTTTAAAAATAAATAATAACAGTCCTTGCATTTGATATAGCACTTTTCACGTCCTCTAGACGTCTCAAAGCGCTTCACAGAATATACGGTAAAGTGAATTGACTGTATATTTGTGGGCGAAACGCGGCAGCCAATTGGGTACAGCAGTGTCCCATAAACAATCGTGACCAAATTACTATTTTTTTTGAAAGATTATTATCCCGGAAAAGCAATCTGCCAGTCAACTAATAACCAGGTTACTACTTACTGCTAAGTAAACAGAGGCGTGTGGAGTAAGGAAACTTGCCTAAGGTTTCACCCTGCTGGGAATAGAAGCCAGGTCTCACTTGCGAGGCGAGTGCTTTAGCCACTAAGGTACAGGATTCCACACTCCAAATAGATACTCCAATTCAAGTTGATGAAAACATTAAAACTGGTACAGAGCTGTTTAAGAAGCTCTGTAGGTTGGTTTCTTGACAAGATAATAGTACCCTGATTTGTTTTTTTTCACACAGGCTGATATAAAGGACAACATTCTTCTTATTGTGTCAAACAATGCACCTATTGAAAGCATCATAAATCATGACTATATAAATCCTTGCCCACATGGCAGGCTCCCATTTGGTGGATAGCTTTCACTGTATGTGTGAAACTGCTGTTGGGAGTGTACCACATATCCTGAACTACAGAAGATACCTTGCTCCAGCGATTTGTGACTGGACTCAATTGACACTTTGATTTATAATACACTTTGGATGTTTACCATCCTCTGGAAGCCTCAGCACTTATGCTTTGGGATGGAAACAATATCATGAGCATACTCAAAACCTGTAATGCAAGATGTTGCGACAGCCCATTTGAGTCACTATAATATTCATAGCACAAACCCATTTCCGTGTTTGGATGCTGACATTTGTGGAATTACTATAAAATGACATATTTTCATGGCGTGATAATTTTGTTTCAGATCCTGGAGCCAAAACATTTTTTTAAAAAATATTCAAGTCATTAATTTTGCATGCTGATAGCCTGCAATTCAAAGGTAGTCAATGACAAAATTAAATTTCAATTGTTAAGAGTAAAAAGAACATACTCGACTGCCCATGCAAGAAAAGCATTAAATGTTCCCCTATGCTACAATACTCAGTTTTCATAGTATATTGCAAAAAAGATTCCCGACACATGTAATTTGTTTGTGATTATTTACCCAACATTTGTATGCAGTGGTGGGGGTAAGGGGAGGTGCAATGTATATTTTTTCAAAGAATTGGTTTGTGAATAAATTGTGTGAAAGAGGTTGCAACTTAATTATCTATTTAATATCTTCTCCCCTCCTGAGAAAAAAAGTGAGTAATGCATTCTTAGAAAGGTGTACAATGCATTCCACCTAGCTTAGTGAGTATAACACTGAGCCAAACACACCAGAAGGTTGTAGATTTGAACCATGGTGTGTGCTGAGTTTACTGATCCTGGAGAGGGGGAGTGGGATTAATTTGGATAGCTCTTTCAAAGAGCCAGCAGGGGCACGATGGGCCGAATGGCCTCCTTCTGTGCTGTATAACTCTGTGATTCTATGATCTCAGATATCTCCGTGCAGTCCTGTGGCTCAGTGGTTAGAGCACTCGCTTTGCAAGTGAGAGACCTGAGTTCAATTCCAGGCAGGGCGAAACCTTGGGCAAGTTTCCTTACTCCACACACCTAATAATAATCCCTCCAAAACCAAAAACAATAATAAAATTGGTCATTTTCAATCTATGATTGTTTGTCGGACATTGCTGTGCACAATTGGCTGCTGCGTTCGCCCACAAATATACAGTCAATTCACTTTACAGTGTGTTCTGTGAAGCGCTTTGGGACGTCCTCCCGACGTGAAAAGCGCTATATCAAATGCAAGGATTATTATTATTATTAGTTAGGGTAGCAATTTGGGTGTTACATTTGGCCTCAATCCCCCACGTAAGGGAAGGGAAAATCAACCAGAATTTCTGCTCATGATAAATATCCAATGTCCTTTATTGGAGAGGTGCTTGCATGACATTGGGTGAGACCATAATCAGGTCCACTGATCCCAATCCCGATCTCTGTCTTGGGCATTCATTGGAAAAGTGCATGTGTGGGCAACAGAGATCCCAAATCATTCCAATTTAATGGGAAATTATTAAATTTAGATTTCATTTTGAAGGTGGCTTCCAAATTAAGACTGAATTTTACAACGTTTTGCAAATCTTAAATATTAAGACAATGGTCTCAAGGCTAAGACCTCAGGTGAAGATAGGACCTGGTTTGGATTTCATTTCCCCGTGTGATGGATGTCCACTCTCTCCACCTTGTCTCACAAATTATAACAGCCAAATGTAACATTGTGTGTCAGCGTGTTGGTAGCACTCTTCTCTATGAGCCTGGAAGTTGTGGGTTCAAGCCCAAGTCGGGACTTAGAACTCATATAGTCTAAGGTGGCACTCCGTTGCAGTGCAGGGGTGGAGGAATGATGCATCATTGGATATGCTGTCCTTTGGATGAGACATTAACCAAAGTTCCTTCTACCTATTCAGATGAACATTAGAGATTCCTATGGCACTATTCAAAAAGAGAATGGGGTTTCTCGCTTAAATAAAATTGATCATTCACTTCATGGCTGTTTGTGGGACATTGCTGTGCGCAGATTTGCTGTTACATTCGCCACAAAATATACATTCACTCCACTTTACAGTATTTCCTATGAAGCAGTTTGTGACATCCTCCTGACTTGAAAGGTGCCTTATAACTCCAATGGTTTTATATAATGTCTACTCCCCTTAGCCCAAGAAAGTGTGTGACTCTTGTTGAGCTGTTATAGTAGATTACTTCAGATTAATTCAACAGAATAAAACAGCCCACTCAGATTGTTTTTTATATATCTATTAAAAAAAAGCTGTTTACCTCAAAAATGTACACTTAAAGGTTTAACCATAGTGTCACAGTTTAATTTGAGGTCTAAAGAATTTTAGCACCAGGAACTGTTTGAGATTCCTATGTAGAAAAGATTCTTTCTCCCTACTCCCTTTCATCCTCCAACCTAATTGTAGCACTAAAACGTGAGAAAAATGGGAGCAGATTTTGTAGAGCTGACATTGCCTTTTAATTTCCTGAAGGATCTTAAAATAGCATTCATTTAAACTACTACACATATTTGGCTTTTAAAAATCCCATAAATCAATATCAAGCTAACTGCAGTAATTATTACAAGTTAGAGCATAATTTTCAAGCTGAAAGCTCCATGTCGAATTTTAGCATATGCAAACTAGGCAATTCTAACATGTATAGATATTAATATTGAGAATCAGGTAACGAGGTACGAGCTATGAATAATGCATTAACAGTGGTTGATCTTTATGAAAGAAATGAATTCAGCATGTAATCTAATTAGTAAAGGAAGTCTATTACATCCAGTGAAAAGCAATCGTCCTTGAAATAAGTTTATTTACAGTCTCACCGAGCACTTTGAACAACTTCAAAATGTTGCTCATGATGTGCACACTAACTGCAAATGTTTATCTTTTCTTTCAGCTCCAGACCAGGAAGACCTCCCAAACGATCCCAGAGTGTTACATCCCCGGAGAATTCCCACATTATGCCACACAGTGTCCCTGGCTTAATGTCCCCGGGAATCATTCCTCCTACAGGTAATGGGTTTCTGGAAATCTTCTCCACTTTCCTTGCACAGTTGCTTGATTTAAATGAGATTGCTCTGACAGAAGACCAGTGCCCTTCAGGTTTTTACACTTAACCCAGAATTGGCACAAATTAAATAATAGAAGCCTTCTCCTTTCATGACGAGTGAATTTCTTTCATACCCGCTGTCGGTATGATTAATAGAATTTCACAGACTGCTCACACTGTGTCTTAGCTGTCCCCATGCTCACTGAGGGTTTCCTAAATATCGAGCAACCTTTGAATGCAAAGGTTTGCATTCACACCTCAGGCGCTAACAGTATCACCATCCATGGATGCACACTCCACCTTACTAAGCCAGTCTGGAAACTTGGAATCTTGTTTGACCCTCAACTATCCTTTCTACCCCACGTCCGTGCCATGATCTGCTCCGCCTTCCCCCAACTCCGCAATATCACCCGGCTCCGCCATTATCTCACCCAACAGGGCGCCAAAACCATCATACAAGCATTTATTACATCGAGGCTTGACTATGCAAACTCCCTGCTTGTTGGCCTTCCCAACTCCTGCCTCCACAGGCTGCAGTTCATCCAGAACTCTGCAACCCATGTCCTCTCCCGCACTAGGCTCCGTGACCCTATCACCCCCATCCCTGGCCGACTCCACTGGCTTCCCATCACACAGAGGATACAGTTCAAAATCCTGGTCCTCACCTTCAAAGTCCTCCATGGTCTTGCTCCCCCTACCTCTGCGACCTCCTAACCCCCTACTATCCTGTCTGCTCCCTCTGCTCAGTTGGCTCCGGCCTGCTTCATGTACCGCACCTCACCCGCCTCACCTGCTCCACCATTCGCGGACGGGCCTTCTACCACTCTACCTCCACCCTCTGAAACTCCATCCTGCAGTCCCTCCGCCTCGCCCCCTCCCTTGCCTCCTCCATCTCAATACCCTCTTCTTTGACCATGCTTTCAATCACCCTGCTTCCCTCCCCTGCCCTCCACCCTCCCCAATCCCGACCCCCAGCTCGGATCCGAAACTCTGACTGTCCAGCACCTTGGGACGTCCTTCCGACATGAAACACGCCATACAAATGTAATTTTGTTGTTGTTGTCGAATAAAGGCGAGCTGCTTCTGGAGAGTGCAGAAGGTATTAAATAGTTGTGTGTACACATTCAACTAATTATTTTACCGCTAAATCTTGTTCATTCACAACACTGTTTGTAGAACACTGGAATCAGCTCACTAAGGAAATGGAAGACGACTTGTAGCTGTTGTGGTTACAGCTCGCTGAGAAGTTTAAATATGATGAGAAAAAACTTTAGTAATGCTATTTTGTGTGGAGAAAATTGGCAGGCTAATTTATGTCGAATTTTGGTATGAAAGCTTTCGGTTGTTTTATGTTGATTTGCTCGTTTGAGAGAGAAAGTAAGAAGGCAAGAAGGCAAGAAGATGTTCGCCTAGAAAATACACTTTACCTTATAACCAGTGTAACACTTTGAGATGTCCTCCTGATGTGAAAGACGATATATCAGATATATCAAATGCAAGGATTATTATACTGTTAAGATAACAAAGAGGCTACCTTCTAATTCTCTGTTATTTTGCTTCTTGCTTTTAAGCAAGGAAGTAGATAGTGGTAAAGAGAGTGATAACTCCACTGAGTGTTAGAATGAAAGCGTTTTGGAGCAGACTATTCATCCTCTCAGTTAAATTGGGATATGGAGAAATTATGGATTATAGCAGTTACCTTAAACTCTGTTGTGATTTATGGAAATTATTGTTTAGCCAATGAGTTAACCTTAATGCTTAATATCCCATTATTTTTCCATGGACGTCCTTCTTAATTGTGCACGAAGTGTGTGACCAGGCATGTGAGTGCACTTACAGCACATTTTTTCTGGGGACTTAAACGATAGTGAAGGGCTGGGGTGGGGCGGGGGAATCCTCTATTAACCTCACTGAAATAGAAACACAATATAATTGACTTTAGTTCAAGAAAACTGCGACAAAAATAAAACACTTTGTGGTTCTGCGCATTTCTCCAATAATTGTAGATTGGTCTTATTCTTCTTAGGTTGAGGGGAGATTTAATAGAGGGGTTGAAAATTATGAAGGTAGCTAAGGAGAAACTGTTTCCTTTGGCTGGTGGGTTGGTAACCAGAGGACATGGATTTAAGATAATTGGTAAAAGAATCAGAGAGGAAACGAGGAGAATTATTTTTACCCCAAGAGTTGTTATTATACAATTGCAAGTTGTGGTTATGGTCTGGAGTGCATTGCCTGAAAGGGTGGGTGGAAACAGATTCAATAATAGCTTTCAAAAGGGAATTGGATAGGTACTTAAAAAGGAAACATTTGCAGGGTCATAGGGTAAGAGCAGGTTTGTGGGGCACGATGGTCCGAATATCCTCCTTCTGTGCTGTAAGATTCTATGATTCTTTGAAACATTGAATTTTATGTATTGCAAGCAGCTTTTATGTAGTACAAGTTGTTTTTATTTGTAGATGTTATATGAAAGGCAAGGTACTTGAGTTTTCTGATACTTGAGTTTTTTTTCACTGTATAAAAGTTGAATGTTTTAGCTTCCAAATTATGGTAGTTTGGGGGTGTGGGGGGGGGTGTGGGGAGGGTTAGGGTGAAATAAAATCCTAATTTTTTAAAAATCTTAACATGTTTTTGGGTTGCCATTCTTGCATGTGCAAAATGTTTGGGGAATTATATTTTTTCCATATCCTCACAAGAAGATGATAAAAGGCATGAGCAAAGACACTTACTTGAAAAGGAGTACTCATCCAGAATTCCATGATTGCTGGGCTAGCTGCAAGCAGAAAGGTCAGTGAGAATCGGAAAGACAGATGTGGTGAGGGTGAGAGAGGAGAGGAAATGCTTAAACTCTGCATGTGATACCAAATGCCCTTTTAAAAGCTCCAATATACCGGGGAAGGGGGGAAGGTCAAACTCTTGAGTAGCTACTAACATCTCAAGATATAAAAATCACATGCTGGGTCCGGAAAGCCATTATTCTAACTTATCTTAAATACCTGTAACATTTCTTGTTGCTTAGAAATGACATTTATATTTGTGACTACCTTGTTGGAACATCCCAGTCCATTAAAATTGTGTAATTTTTCAAATCTTGAGATGATATTATGTATATAAAATCATCAGTTACCAGACAGGGCATTTGTCTTTCTATACTGAAGGAATTTAAGCATAAAGACTGAGCTCAAGGTCTCTCTAACATAGTATAAAGTTAGTATGAAAGTTACTACTGCTCTCTCCAGAGTGGAACTAAAACCGAATGGAGCAGAAACTCTTAGATGTTCTGTAAGTCCCTGTGTGTCTGAATTGCTGTATTTGGGGGTTAAACACAACAGTTAATGTTTAAAACAACAATAACAAATTACATATGTATAGTGCCTTTCATGTCGGGAGGATGTCTCAAGGCACCAAATAAAGTATTTGTGTTTCTGTTTATATCATAGGTAGGTAGGGGATTAAAATATGATGTGGGTTATTTAATTCCATTTTGAATGTAAGGAATTAAGTGGTCTCCAGGACTCTTGCCTTCATCTCCCACTGTTTCGCCCACAAAATATACAGTCAATTCACTTTACAGTATATTCTGCGAAGCGCTTTGAGACGTTTTGAAGATGTGATTAAAGCGCTATATAAATTGCAAGGATTATTATTATTATCTCCTATTTTCTATTAAATTAGATTTCTATCATTTAGAAACATCAAAAATGCAAGGATTATGATTACTATTTTCTTTTAAAATTTGCTGTTTTTGTTCCCCCTGTTTGAATTCACAAGGGACAAAGTAAATAAAAGATTGTGAATTATCCTACAAGTACAGCAAGGAAGTGAACATTACAGTGTTTGGTGTGATATTTATCACATACTACGTTTCCTCCTTCATAGCATTGATTTGAGCTGAAATGAACATTTGAAGTTCATTTCAATTGTACAATTTTAGAATATAACCTGCATTATTTTGTTATAGAAAATCACAAGAGCTTTACAATGGTTGTCCTAAGTTGCTGAAACTGGGTGCCACACATGGATAAAATGTTTAATACCTTAGCCGCAATATATCTCCCATCCTGATGGGCATAAAAAATCACAAAGCATATTTGAAACATTACGATAATAATAATAAAGCTATTAACATTGCTTTCATTGCACTCTCCCAAGATCTGTCAAATAATCTTGAGCCAGTTGCGCAATTGCTGCACATGCTTGATTGACTTTGAGTGCAATGAATAAACAGGCCACAACCAATTATATTTGATTTGGTGGCCCACTTAATAAGATGGGAGTCCATATACTGCCCAATCCTGAGTTAAAAACAGCTTCATCCTGAGGATTGTGTTCCAAAGTGTAGACATCAAACAGTCAAGAGCTGCAATGGGGCAGGATATAGCATTCTTAATAAAACCAATTTATCACTGCACGTGAATAGTTATTTATGCTCCAACCTTTTGTCTTATGTGACCTTAAGGCCTGTTTGCTCTGAGAGATCACAAACAGTTTGGATCATGTTGATCTGAAGGGAATGCGATTATTTTAGCGTTTAGATGCGCTGCGGTTTTCCTCCAGGCAGTAAGTGACCAGGGATTGCAATCAGACTGTAGCCACCAGTCTGATTTGAATCACATTGATGTGCAGCCAGCTTTAAACTTGCATCAGGAGGTGGGAGAAATCTTACTCTGGAATATATTTAGAGTAAATGTCTCTGTGCCCTTTATACTGGCTAATTAAACAAAAAACAGCTGCAAATTAGTAACAATACAAATTTACTGCTGCCTGAAAAAAAAGCTCTTATCAAGATTCCATGTTATATTTTATCTGGTTGAATCTTGCTGGTGTACAGTTTGCAGACTTGAATCTTGCTTGTGTACAGAATTGCATTGATCCTGTCAATTAAAACATTGACAACTCACAATTGCAAGGCACAAATAATGCAAAGTGGAGTGTTTGAAAAAGAACATAGCCACCACGTTTTGAA